AATTTTTCTTCTTTATTTTTTTTCTTCGTAAATTGCCCTTTATGCTAAAGCAAATACGAAAGAAACCCTCCTAAAACTAGATGTATAGCTTCCATATCCCATATAACTTTTATTTTCCTCCCGTTACTCAATTTTTTTGCGAAGAGATTTTATTTAAAGAGATATTCGAAAAGCTAACTTCTGTTCTCCGACTTACTATAGATATTTAAGGCAGACAATTAATTTGCTGGTCAGTCTAAATCGGGGATTAAATTCCAAGCAACCACTTCAAATGCTGAGTTGCAGTGTTCTTCTTAACCACAAGGCTTTTTCTTACCTTGAAAAAATAATTCGCTTACCGAGTTGCCATGCATTTGTTATATAACAATAATGTGATCAGCAGACTGTGAAAGTTTAATGCGATAAATTATTTGAAACCCCAATATTTCAAGATTTAAGGGTTGCCGAGACACAAATTTCTTTTTTAAATTTTCTCGTCTCTTTAAATGGCCAGTTTATCACTTGGAAAATATTACAATCAAGCCTACGTGTCCGTCTCCCTCTTAATTTGACTGAAACGTTCACAGATAATACTCTCAGACTGAATGAAAATTTCGATCCCAGAGATACAGCAATATGTGTTCATTCTCTGTGCCGTGGAGATTTCCCAAAAAAATATGACAACTTGTAATGATCACGAGCTTCATCTCTGTTCCATACCTTTACCGAAATATCTTTCTAAATGTAGGAGCTATTGGAGAGTCTTGATGATTCCGAAACTTTAATTCCACTTGAGAAATTCTGCGAGATCTTCCATCGTCGGATTAAATTTTCCAAGATTATTTGCCTATTCCTAACCTGTTCCTTACCCAGCTGAAATCATAATAGTTTTGGCCTTGCAGATCGAGTGGAAACGTTACACGAAGTTTCCAAATTTGTCAGAAAATGGATCAAAAATGTGATTATGGCTCTGGTGAAGGAAGCTAATGGTATAGATCGGGAATGGAAGGTTATGGAAGTAACATTTTGCTTGCAAAATAACAATGAAATTCCCAAAAACGTATTAGCGCAACTGTTCATGAGCATCTAGATTGATATTCTTAGGCACGTCTTCTCTTTTCACTTGACTGAAAAATAATATGATAAATAAGTATTTCATCATTTTGTTTTCTTTTTATAGATGGGGTATAGTGAGCTTAATGCTTATGCCAAGAATGGAGGACAACTTCGGGAATAAAGAGTATACAACTCATAATGTGGACGTCAAAGATGGCTCTTGATGACACTGTTTTCACACCAATTTGGAAAATGAGTTATTTCAGGAGGGCATAAAATTAAAAATAGCCACGGCATGCTTACAATTAATTTTCAGCTATTTTTGTTAATCGGCGGAAAAATAAAGGTTTTAAAGGAATAGTTTTCGAGCGAGTTCGCTGAATGCACGCGGGCCTAATAGCACAAATATGATATACACTTTGATCGAAATAAAATACTGTTTGGCCCTTTTACTTATTCTTTTAGCTTTAGCTTCACCATTAAAATAATACTGACAACATCACAGGTTTGTGACTGATGATGATAATTAACTGGCGTGGTACGTATCTATGAAACCACCGTTTACCTTTGCTACGACATTTATTTGCAATTTTACCTCGGGGTGCAGGTAAAAAAATGCCAGGTTTTCGCTCATTTGTTGCTTAAGAAAGACTAAGCGCTATTCGTTTGACCCTTTAACTCCCATAATTGGCTGAATTTCTCTTTAAAATTTCTCTTTAAAAAAAAATCAATGAAGTAACGAGCGCAGAAGAGATGGGAATAAAGAAAATAACAACAAGAGGATTGTTTATTGGTTGATCGAATATCAAATTATCAAAACCAAACCCATACAAATCTTATGACGGATAGCAAGGAGAAAGCCTGATGAAATCTTGGAAGTAAAAGGGTTGAATAATTGACAGAAAATGATCCCTCCTGATAAATTTGCAGCAGGAAAAGGAAAACTTTTCACCTATGAAAAAAAACAATCAGAGCTATGTTGGATTCTGGTAAACGATGCTACTTATATCACTGGCAAAGAATTACAATACCCCCCAACCTCTCTAAAAGTCTCATCAAACCTCTATTTGCACCTCAAGAAACCAAAGCCGCCACTCGTAATTGAGAAATCATGGCCGCCATTTTTATTGTTTTGATACCCAATATGGCTGCTGTGACGTCATGTGATAACAACACATAACGACGTCCACAATGTCTCACCAAATGGGATGTAAATATTCGTGTGCGTATGGCAATGGTGTCGATGTGCGTTCAGCTAAGTAGACTTGAGAAGCATTGAGCTTTCAAAAAAAAAACTCTGATACGATAGAAAGGTACTCAGAGATGGAAAACATTTTCTAGATATAACAACAGATTAGCCTTTACTAACTGCGGGAAAACATATGGCAGCTAAGGGGAATTTCCCATCATGTCTGGCTAATAAAAAGATCTTGAATAGTCCAAGTTACGAAGTCAGTAGGTGCTTCCACAGCAATCCCCTTGCAATCCAAAACCTGAAGCGTGCCAATTCAGAGGATCCTAATAGAAAATGTACGCCTCTTCTTGTCACTGACCTCCCACCACGACAAAGCCTCTGGTGCATATTGTTACCTCAAAAGACACTGACGTAGTTTAAGAGCTACATGTAATCTATATGCCACCATTTTGTTGTGATTTTCATCCCGGTTTATATTTTTTCTTCACCTGTTCAAAGGTATTGCATTCTTACTATCAATAGGAGCTTGAACGATCCTTATTTTATTGAAGCTGGTGACGTACAAAAATAAATGACGTAGACAGATCTTTGGCACGTATTGTGTTCTTCGCTACAGGTTTTTATGAAAATTTCCACTCACTGTGATTATTTGGAGTATCCTATGATTTCGATTGAAATATCTCTATTAAAGTTTCCTTTTTTAAATTCCGTTTGAAAAACTTTCGGTTTCCAGAGGTTACAAATCAGGAGTTTTCCACCTCACATGCATTCCACGGCAAACATTTTAAATAGAAAAATTTATTTGGCTTCTCGATTTTTTTTTTGTATATTTGAAATGGAAAGGGCACAAATGTTTCAAAAAATGGAGATGACTTTTTGCTCATCATAAAGAGCAATTTTATTATCTTTTTAAATAGTTTTTACCTGCGGAAGTTTGTGTTATTTCACTCGGTTTTCATTATGCTTGTCTGTAAATCACTGTTGCTTTGACAGAACAGGTAATTATTGCGCTGTAGAAGAGATTCTATCATTTGATGAATGAGTCATTTTATTCATCCTAGAGAACATAGCGACATATTGTTCCTTAAAATAAAGTAAGGTCTGATACAAGATACACTGAATTTAGCGTTTTTTAATTCTTCCCAAGCAATAGTCAATCGGAAATTTTGCAACAACCACAATCCATGCTTGAAATCAAATGTAATCAAATACACCTTCGGGCTCCTTCATCAGTAGATTAGCAACCACGCTCTCTATAATTTTTTTTTTTTCATTTGTGTCAAGTGTTTTCGTAAGTTCGTTTTCAAATAATATTCAGAAATATTAACGAGAGATATTTCCTCAGTTCTTTGAGAGATGCGAAACTGGGCCAGTTTCGGTTAATCTTTGTGGAATTAACATCTCTGAGCCGATATGTTGGAGACAGTATCAGCATTGATCCAGATTTCACTGCCACGACAATCTTTAGACTTTGTACACAATAAAAAAGGGCATTCAGTGCCTATCCGGTTTTCCATCAACGCAGTCCTGACCGGATTTACTTTCTCTGCTCCTTTCCGCTCAAGGGTTCAGTCAACGATACTTCATGGAGAAAGCCGTGCCTTTTTATCCAGTCGAACTTTCATTAACAGCCATCCCTTTTGATTCTCCAGGTATTCAGTCCACTCCTTTGCTCCTCGTTTAACTTCTTTGCAACTTCCCCCTTGCCACAACTGCAAAGGCCACTGAATAGCGTCCCGACCGACTTCTAAAGTATCCTCTGGGTACTCTTTTTTCTTAGTGGTAAGCAGAGAGAAACTTTGTTTGGGATATGTTTCTCTAGCTGTTAGAATGTTTCCCCTGATTACTACATGCCTATCAAAAAAGGTTTTAAAAAAAAGAAAGAATAGAAGAAAGGAGAACGAAAGAAGGAACGAACAAAAGAATGGACTTGGCAAAATGATCTTCGCTTGAAAATCAAGGACTATGACCGAATTTAACTACTGCATATGACAGAATGTACTGGTCGGGATATTTCAATCTTCGCAATCGCTTTCGACGGTATGTTTACACCTTTTGGGAAAATTGTGGATGAACTTCATCAGAAGTTGTACAACTGGCAACCTGAAATGTTCCTCCGACAAAAAGGGTTTGGCTGTTTACATCCGTTGTTCCGAGAAGCTAATTCAAACTTAAAAATGAAAGGGGAATTTGCCGCCTGGAACTATTCATTGAAAAATGATTGGTTATGTCGTTTTAAACAACTTCATTAAACGAAAAAAATTACAAAATTAGCCCCTAACCTCTTGGATTTATCGTTAGTCGCCCTTTCGTAAAATTCCTGCCAGGCCACCCTTTGGTATGGGTAATTGATGTATTTTTTAGTAGGTTTTACTCTTGTCCTGGTTGTCTATATTTTGAAAAGCTAGTTTTATTATCCCTTGAAGAGCACAGTTTCGCTTTCTTTTTCTTTATTTCGTGCAATGTTTTTGGTATTTTCCTGTTAATAGGCAATGTTTGAAAAAAAAAATTGGGAAAAAAAAACCTGAGAGTTGTACCTCAGGATACCAAGAAGTGGTTTATGAGGACCATAGGGAAGCATATGCGACAAATTTCCAATATAACTCGGTCGCCTTGAACATTTTCATGTCCAGAATTTAAAAGTCAAAGAATGTGTTAGAAACTAAGCCACCCACAAGAATCTTGTAGACATTGGTTAAATTAGAATCGTGACAGAACATTGAAAATGGCAAGCACTACCGCTGAGAATATGGTGACCAGTTCTACTTCCTTTTTATACATTTCTCTGTTTATTGACGTATGGTTTTGATTCAGCCCTCATTTAAATAACACACCAGCAGTATCACCTAAAAGATAAAATTTCTTTGCATCGGCGGAAAGTAAAGTACATCCATAGCATCTTAAAGCAAGCCTTTAAGTTCACGCGCCTTAGCTTCTTGTAACATTGTCTTGTAGAAGATATTCGCAAGATCAAACATTTTCATCGCCTCCGTCCTTAATGGCTCGCCTTCTTTTATCTCCTTTTTCTGCATTCGCCTATTCTTTTATTCCTTATAACAGCCTATTGTTTTGTTTCCATGCTTCGAATCTCTTCCAAACCTGTAAAGGGTAAATAGGAGTTTCATTATTTTTTAAAATTCATCGTCAACGTAGCGTAAAATGCGGCTTTGTTTTTTTTTTTGCGAAAGAGTCCACACATGCCATATTTACGGCCATTATCATGAGTAATTTCTCTGTCTTTTGTACTCGGCGATAAAGTAATATAACGCTCGGCCTTATTCTTTGTGCTTAACAATTTCTTCGCATGCAGAGTTCACCGTCATTATCATGCGGTAGTTCCAAATGCTTTAATCCAGGGTGCACCGGGCCATTACAGGTCATTGTTTTCCAACTTTGCTTTGTTTATTCATATGTTTGGCAACAACTTGATATTTAATTGTTTAAATGCAACCCATGAAATGACGAAAATATAACTTCTCTTCGACTTTTGAATGTCTTCAAGAATATCTTAAGTTTTTCTGTAATTTTTCATTGTAACAACAGAGTAAATTAGTTCTCTTTGTACTCGGTGGCAAGGAAGTTGAAAATACGAATCTAGTTCATAAATTGAGCTATGAATAATTTTAAATCGCCTCTTTAATAGGCGTTAATTCAAGGACGATCGCTCGAAGATGAAAAGATTTGACAGAAAAATATATTATCGTGTGTTCGATCGATTCATGATGTATCTTAAACGGGTAAAAGTTACTAGATTTTTAGCATAGCGTGGAAGTTCAGCTACGGCGTAGTTTATGAACAGAACTTAATGTTCAGATGGCAGACAAAACGCGGATGTATTAGAATAAGATAAATGAGAAATAGCTGAACAATAAAAGTATTAAGAGAAGTACGGAGGTGCTGTTTTTTCAAGTTTAAAACATCGACGAAAATGGAGAAAGGAATGCGACAAAAGCATAAATTTAACGAAGGCGAAGTGTCGATGTGAATGTAGTTCTCATACTTTTACACAGGAAAATCATTTTTTAGTCCAAGACTAGCCCTAGATTTTATTTTTGACAACGGCACTAAATGTGACGGTTTCTAACTTGAATAACTTAAATTCATTTTTAGCGTCTATCATGAATGGACAAAATAATAGATTCGTTAGATTACAGAGGACGGAAAATTCTGAAAAAAAAAGTAGATTAGAGAGAAAGCTGACAAAACATGTTGTGTAAAAGTCTTTCTGCGTTGTGAAAGAAAAGAAAACAAAAAAAACCCTGAAAACAACAGTATAAACAACAAGAAAGCCATGCAAGGGCTAATATCAAGTGGCCGACTTGAAATGATTACTTTAAAAGCTTTCCTTCAATATTATCTAATTGAAATATGCAGATCTTACCCCTCGTTCCTTGCAACACTTGAACGATGTTAGTCCACAAAAGCAAGCTAAAGTGGATTGACCCGAAAGACTTTTATGTTTGTGACTGCCATCTCCACTTCCTAGGAACTCGTCATTCCCAGCTATTTTAAAAGCTAATGAAGGAGATGAGATTAGGAAAAGGAACGCTAAGAGGACAAATTTTGTCGAAAACATCTCAAAGTTTTCTTCCTGAAGGAAATATTTCTAGAGGAAAGTTCGATAGATATTGAATCGAAAAGACCTGAATGGTTTGTTGGTTGATCCAAAATCTTGTCCTTTTCCTTTCGTTTATATGCTTTTTGAAACTGCAGGTGCGTTCCTCTTTAAAAGGCATGGGCGGAATTTGGCTTTGATATATTTTTTCGTTTGTTTGGGAAATCTCTTACATTCCTCATAAAAACGAGTGTCTCTAAGTGTGGCCACGATACGAAACGATCTAAACTTCATCAATTGTCATTAGCAGCAGCGTTATATTATCTACCTACTACCCACTACCCCTTCCGAAGCACTTTACAGCTTTTGTACGCTGATTCAAAAGGTCAAGGAATGAATAATTACTTCCTATTGGACTGATCAAAGGACTACTGAAACAGATGAAGCATTGCATTGGGTTTCTATCTGTTGCAAAACCAAAAAAAAAAAAAATGTTGTAAATAAACCACACACTACATCACTGTTTTTATTGACACTTCCTTAACTGAAGATGAAGGCAGATTGCAGCTGATGGGAATGTTGTGTTGAAAATGCACAAGTCAATATTATTAGTTTTGATGAACTGAAGTTACACAATTCATCAAAAAAAAAAAAGAAATTTATACTAGCTTAAAAGGCAGATTTTATGGTTTTACTTAATTCTGGAGCGTCAAACGTCGACAGAGAAATTTTCAAGAGGCATTTGAGGAAAATGTTGTTTACAATTTTTTTGCACACAAAAGAACTGCAGATGTAATAGTCCGTAAGTATTTTGGAAAGGAAGCATCATTTGATGATAGAGCAGTAAAAAAACGGACATTACCAAATAAGCTTTTGTTTCGTTCCCAATTAGAGGAGTGCATTTTCAAAAAGTTTGGCCTTTGATTTCATCCAGTTTAGCGTTTTTTTCTCAAATGTTTGGCATCACTTAAAATTTTGAATTTCAAGAGCTCATTTAGTGAAATGTCCGGCGAAGTGATCGTTAATAAATAGCATTTAGGTTGTCGAAACGAAACGGCAGAATGTTTTATCCTTATGGGGAGTGTGTTTTTCGTTTTAAACGGGATACAGAACCTCGTAATGTCAATACTGAGTATCAAAGGTTTATGAAAACAGGAAATATTAGCTTTCCAATACTATCATTTTCTTTTCAGCACTAAGGCAGGAGGTAAGTATCTACAAATATAACATAGTAAGCGGGAGGTCGACACGACTTGACAAACTTGAATCAAATCGTCTTCTTGCCTTCGATGCGCAACGCTGAAACATGAAACCAATAATCGTCCTTATAAGCCAAAAAGAGGTAGAAGCTTTTTTCATCTTAATTCAATTTTTTCTGTATCTTAAACTAGATGCATTTCGGAACGAGAAATTGAAAATTCTGAGCTGAAGTAAATGGCTGTGTTGTTTTCGACGTCACTGTTGTTTTTCAATATAAATGATGTTAATGTTACTTGTGCTTGCCTGACGATCACTTAAAATCTTAAGGCTGTTCTTCAATGGATTATACAGAAAAAAAGTGTCTGCCCTAATCTATGAAAGGATACGAGTATGATTGTATGATTATAAACATAACAAATATGCACTTCAAAATATTTTGTAAACTTATATCCCTAACCTTGTGTCGTGGGGAAGAGTGGGCAGTCCAAAACGAGATTCAATTGTATTTGAACCGAGAAAACAAAGTTTTGAACATTTGATCTGTAAGTATTCCAAAAGATGAAAGTCAAGAGCAAGAACGTTAAACCATTGCATTCCCACTTTATCATTTTTAGGCGAAATTCAAATGATAGATTGTCAAATAATGAAATTGGTTGGTTGCGTTTCTTGATAATGCGAAATTGGGTGAGTGAAAACAAAATCGTGTGATTGGGCGGTCAGGATACAATCGACCTAAAACTGATGCTGTGCCGTAGAGAAAGAGATTTTTTTTCTGACCAACACTCTCTTTCAATAATAATAATATTCATAGAAGAATACCAAGCGTCTGATAAAATTTTGTTCGGTCTTGTTAACGATTTTTTAAAAAAAGACTTGATCAATGGAGTAACGACCGATTATCTTAAGCCCAGGCAGCGTACACAGCATCTAAAACACTTCTAGAAAATGAAACACAATTGCTTCTTAAGTTGCTCACATATATTCATATTATGAGAAGGTGGTCGAACACAATCCTTCCTTTTTTTAAGTAGTATATACTTAAGGCAACCCTATCAAGTTCGTTCATGCTATCGAAGGGCTAAGTAAAAATTATGACGCTAACAGCGTTTTGAGATGCTGTAGTGAAACCCAAAATTCCGAATTGCCTTCAAACGTGCTTGAAATTCGACTTTGCATGCCGCTATTTTTAATATTTCCAAGCAATCTAGCCGCTTTCCTGTGATTTAACAAAGTCTCAACTTTTCGATTCCTTTTCAACCTCTCGATGTTCTGTTTTGGCGACAAGGAGCAGCTGTGTGAACCATGGGTCATGGTTCTCGTAAATAGAGGTTAAATCTTGTACGTCATACTACTATGGCGAGCGTGCCCACATCACTGAGTTCTTTTTTATAATGCGGTGTCCTACTCGAACAAAATATTATAAGGCTCTAAGCTTTTTTCTCTTCGGAATCTCACATTTTACGTAGTAAGTGTTAAATTTTTATAGATACGTTCCACTTTTGGAGATGGAAATTTTTTGGTTTTTAATAAAAGAGATGCATGAGCGAGAATGGGTAAGGAGACTCGGAAAACGACACCTTTTGCCTCGCGATGGTTTATAAAAGGCGATCGTTCTGATGTCGACGAGTTTTTTTGTCGGAAGAAACTGTGGTGCTGCGTCCGTGGGAGAGTGTAATAGGGTAATTAAGTATTGTCAAGTGAGTTCATAACGTAAATTGGCCTCCTTAAAGAGTTTCAAGCTGACATTTCGCTGACTGCAAATTATTCAATCTCACTTTGTGAAAAGTAAGGAAAATAATAATAAAAAAAGACCAAAGCAAAAATAAAACGAGTAATAGTAAATAAATGAACAAACTGAAAACTTATATTTGAATCTTTGAATTTTGCCCACCTATTAACTATGGCCCTAAAACGTGCCACGAGGGAGTGAATAGAATATGTGATTTTTATTTTTCTTAGAAATTACATCGCTGTTTGCTACGTTAAGCTAACCGACTCTTTCAACGCTGATCAAGGGTGAGTAACTCTTTGGTTTGAAGATTTCTACAGGTCATGTTTATCCTCTCGGATGTATACGTCCCTTGCGTTGATGCTTTTCTTCTAAAATGAATTGAAATAGTTAAATGATAACATGAAAATAATTTGACCATTTAAGACCAAGTTTTAGTTTCATTTTCATAGAAAATGAACCAAAAGAAAATGACGAGGAGAAAACCAAAACACGGACAAGGCACTTTACGATCGTCTCTGCAACTTTGCTCACAGAATTCATATATTCCTTTTGCCTTTCTTCATCTTTCCCTTTCTTTCTTTCGCCTGCGGAAAATTCAGTGTCACGACCTAGTGGAGTTTTGATCTACCGTGTAGCAAGAAGGTTTGGCAACAGCTGAATTTTTTGGATTGGCGCCATTTTGAGTATTAGGAGCATTTCTGCATGTCTGACATTTCTGTTGAGGACTTCTTTGCAAGTTTCATCGAGTTATTAGATAATCTAAAGTCCTGTTGCAATGTCTCCTTTGTGAAATTAGCATGATGGAATTTCGAATACGAACAGGAAGGCAAGAAGGTAATGTTTCTTTTTATATAAGAGTGCGAAGAATTACGTTTTCGAACAGTTGGAGCCTAACAATTCGAATCCGTTCCGAGATTAAAAAAAAAAAAGACAACAACAACAACGTGTGGGGTACTTTGTGCTTTAAGCAAGATGTAATGAGAAGGTACTTTGACGTGCATTAATTCGCCAGTTACCTGTAAATGTGACCTTCTTCTCGCAACGCGACATTTTTTCCATCCATGGATGCCGCAAGCGCGAGGAAACAGTAAGGGAACCTTCTCCGATACTTCATTGCCTGTAATACTTGATGTTACGGCTATTATAGCCAATAAAACCAGCAACCTTGCCATGTCCGTTTTGGTGAAGCTGTAATAAATTGACCGTTGATTTTGGTAAGTGATATTACCTCTCGTTTTATATCGCTTTTATCTGAAATTAGATGCTTCCTTATCGTGGATGTTATCCAAAGAGAGTGATCCATTTTGCTATCTTCGGAACTACGATCGATTTCTTAATTAGCACGATAACGTATGTTTGTGGTATCAGATGATGCATTATGCGATACACATTGAGCATTTGTCATGAAAAACCTAACAAGAATTGAGTTAAGTTATCGTTCATCGCTAACAGACCAAAGTGGAACATTCGCGAACATTTTGCGGAGGAAAGGAACTGAAGCCTTTGCACCGTGAAAGAGGTTTTTTTTCTTTACTTTTTTAATTCATTCAAGTCATCCTCTCGAAAGATTTCGCTTTTATTTCATTTTTCACTACTTTGGAGCTTTCCTATGATTTAAAACATTTCAAAAGTTATTGTGTTTTTTTGATCTTGCTAAAAAGGTTTTATTCGAAAATTCTCAGCTCACTTCTAAGAATAGCTAAACAAGAAATGATTTTCTTTTCATGACAATGTTTAGGCTTTCATCAAAAATTTTTGTTAAGTTTAAACTTTATCTACCGAGCATTTCATTGGCTATATTTGTTTTTGTATCTATTTTTATCTTTAGGAATCGCCAGTTCCTTCTAAGAAACAATCTGTGTAAAATCCTCGAGATCTCGTGTGACAAACCATCTGGTCAACTTATCTAGATATCTTCCGGCCCCTATTTCTCTGGGCGGCGGTAAATCATTTATGCTCGGAGGTAGGAGTGGCAATTTTTTGATAATTTCAATCACAGAGGATAATTTCTAGTTAGTCTCTATAATACGACTTCAATAAAAGCTAAAAACTTTCGAAGAATTCAGAATTAACTGTTTGTGCGTCTGTGTGTTTGGAACGAATCAAAACATTTTGAAATAAACTAAGGATGGAGTATCAGGTCGCATAGTCTTTTTTGGCCGATTAAGACCACAGCAAAGTCGCTTATAATTGATTTTTTTAATAATCAGGTGGATAACCAGATTTTCGGTTAGCTGCATTAGTTTACGTATTCCTGTCAAACGATTTAGCAATACTCGTGACAGTGTGCGGTAAAAATTCCGTGCGCTTGCAGGGATGTTACTAATGCAAAGAATATCATAGATACTAAAAAGTTCAGGATTTGATGGTAATTTGCTTAAATATTGGTCAGTTTATATTCTCATTCCTTACTCCCAATTCTTCCTTTTCCATTTCCTATTCCTCATACCCCATTCCTCCCTTCCATTCCCAATTCCTATTCCCCATTCCCCACCCCCATTCCTAATTTTCCTGCTCGCAGGTTATTTGTTTATGCGCTTTATTTAGCAATAATTAACCCCTCTTATGGAAACTCCAAATTCGCGACGCAAACGCTTTTTGGGAGATACTTTAGTACGAAGGGAGGATAAAAGGGATTGACTGGGACATGTCGCTGATTCTTTTTCTTACTTCAGGCGGGATCAGAAGCCATTTTGAGCCAAGGAAAAAATAATCCAATTCTACCATGCTACCAGAGGAATTTGGATGCTTTTTTTTTCCTTCCGTACAAGGCTACGAGAAACATGGGAGGAAGGGCTCCTTATGGAGGTTCAGTTTCCCACAACGACCGTTAGAATATCCACCACAATTCAAACAAAATGCTGTAGCGTAACCTAACGTTCATATACTGCGAAGCTGGAATCACGCATCGGTTATTTATACGAGTGCGCATGTACGGAATACGTGTTACTTCTGTGCAAGTCATAAGGTTAAATTAGCTGCTTCTTGTATGTGATTTTTCTTCCTTCGCTTTCGCTTGGAGAGCGAATCGATAGGATGAAAAGAAAGACAAAAAGAGAGGTACGAAGAAAGATGGAAAATCAGCTTCCCCTGTCAAAATTTCTTTGAAAACTGAATAGATATTACATGTGAACGTACATTTTGCCATAGATGGCCAAATCATGAAGAGACATGTCAAATTTGGCAAGTCGGCCACTTATTGATTCCCAAATATTCTTTATCCAATACCTCGTAGAAATAAACCAATTGTTAAGAATTTTCCTTTGGTCTCTAGACTAAACAATGTTAGTAACCGATGATTGCTTTCACACGAGTCACCGACCTGTGAAATATGATATATATATATATATATGTGTATATATGAAAAGTGTCTCTCAGTTGCCCATAATTAAACTGAATAAAAATTAAATTCTTTGTTCTTTATAAAGTCCTGATGATAGTTCTGTGAGTCAGTATTGAGAGGTCAATTGCTCTAAAAAAACCACCTGATTCAAGGAATGGATCAGTAAAATACGATTATCACCAAGTACACCTGATGGGTAAGAAAAAACAGAAAAGTGATTTATAGTCTCAAGTCACTTTTTTTTATCAAAATGGAGAAAATAATTCACTTCTCCTGCAAAAGTATTATGCTAGACGCGTCATAGGGACGCCAAATTATATATATGCGGACACAAATGCTAAAGTGAAGATTAATTTGCCAAAAAAGTAATTATTTTTGCCATCTGGCGTTGAATGGATTTATAGTTAAATATTGTCAGAAAACTGAAAAATACTTAGTGAATAACACCAATTGAAATCCTTTTTTACGCAAAGCAAATAATCATGCCAAAGAAAAATGCGCAAGATGAAAAGTAAGCGTAAAGTCATAGAGCTCTGTCAAAGACCATTATTTTGCCCCAAGACAAATGCCTTTTTTAGATTATTCTCCAGATTTCGTTGTCTGCTCCTAACAGTAACTTTGAAGAAAAATAAAGTCATAAAACTGATTTTTGAGAACTCCTGCCGAGATTTTGCGAATATGGTCGAGAACAATAGTAAATGAAAAGTTACTTTGTTGACCGTGAATACTGCGAGGATTTTAGCTTGGTGGATGCACTTTAAGATAAACCAAATTTACGAATTGACGGTAATGGTAGGCCGAATTTTGTAAAAAGTAAATGAATGAAATACCGCTAATGGAGTTCTTAAGAGTAAAGGTCAGTCATTTCAACGCTGCTGTATTTTTTCCAACCCCTTTGTAGGATCACTACGGGAAGACGCGATCCAGCAAGAAAGCCTTGAGGGGTTACGAAGCACCCACGCCACAACTGATGAGGAAAGCTTTATGTCTACAAGGAAGACCGCCTCGTTGTTCCATTTGCATGGGGCCATAAACATAATACGTAGGAAGATAAGTGAGGGTCATTTTACAATTCAACGATTTAGCTCATGAATTGAAATAAAAAATGGCATGTGCGGATGACCTCAATATAGCGTTAGATAATAAAGAAAAGAACATCCGGCAAGATCCGTTGCTTTGTAATGATTATTACTTCTCTGTTTTAATGATTAAAATGGAAATAAGAGCATGAAATAGGGGGTGGCACTTTATCGCCTTACATCAGTGTGTTGGCGTCCGTTAGTTCAATTCCCATAGGGTAAACAAACTGGTTCACCTTTCCAACTGCCTGATATGAAAGCCACCTTCCACAAATGATTTGCATGCGTATGACATTGTATTCTGTAAGTATATAAAGATGAATATCTATATCCGTTAAATTCAAGTGAAATCAGCTTCCGTGACTTGTCATGAATCTAATGGAGCATTCCCGCAATCAGGCGACAGGAAAACGGCGTGTGTTTTAATAAGCGTTTGATGTATATCAAACTGAATTATCTCTATTGTGTCATTGCAAGGAAGTCCAACCAATGAGGCTTGAAGGAAGAAATTTGTCATATGAAATTTTAAGTTGCTTTCACCATGTTTTTTCATCCGCCCCCATTTAGTAATCAAAGAGTACACTATGCGTAAGGTGTTGATTAAATGTAGCGGTACTGGAAGCGAAGACGGGAACAAAGGTTTAAGGGAAAATAAATATAAATGAAGAGTACTCACCGATTTTCGCCTAGCATTTTATTGTTTTACAATAGGTTACTCATTTTGGTTTGCATATGAAAGTTGTTCAATCAGTAATTATGTCTTAAATTTATATGGAAATTTTGACTGCTAAACAGCTGCTTGAAGCAGTGGATATGCTATGTCAAACTTTACTGATTTTGAACTGGTCAGGTATGGCTGAAACATCGTTTATGAAATGAAGTCCAGTATTTTCTTTTTACGATTCATATAATTTGCCAAACTTAACAGTACGAATATCCCAGCAGCAAAGCTTGGACCTCCGCAGCGGGACTTCTGATAAGCAAGCGTTTCTATTATGTTAATTAATGATTTAGATCGTAATTGAAATCATTTAAACAAAGTATTTTGGAGACTAAAAGATTTACGCCGCCCACAGTGAATCACATAAATTTTGCTAGGAGTACTCTAGAATTGTCTCCTAACGAAAAAAGGAGGATAAAAAGACCATTTTCTGAAGGAAACCTTCATTCTCATCGTGAGGATTCTACCGTATTCACAGTTGATTAAGAAACCTCTGGTTTGCTTGCCATAATTTTCTGAGGATACCAATCATACCAAATATGAAAGGAAAGTGTTTGTTTACCCTCGCTTGGGTGGCTTTAGTCTCAATAGCCCTGTCAGTGATGGTGGATGCCGAAGGAAAACACCAGGAAAGGATGAACATTAACGAAGGAAAGGTGCAAAGGGCTGAGGAAACTAAACGAAGTAAAACTGAACACAGCTTGTTTCCACGCGTCTGTGGATACCACTCGTGGGTTGTGTGTGGCAGAAGAAGACGATCGAGTTCAGGCAAGGTAAATTTTAACGCAACACTAGTGTAGTCTGGGAAAACTATCACACGGATTAAACTGTTTATCAAAACCGAAACTGCTATCTGGCATCGCCTTTTGTGGCTGTCGGGTTGGGTGTTTTATTTATCGTATTTTTCATGGCGCAACTTTATGTCCACTGTGAAAATGTTCTGTTTTTTGTTCTTTTCAGCGCTTTTTTCGAGAAAACTTCTCGTAAGCGCGTTTGTCTCCAATATTTTAATATTCGTTAGTGATTGAGAACTATAATTATTATTGGTGTTACTATTATTAT